GAGTCGTGGCATCAAGGCTGCTTATGCTAATGCTAACTTCATAGTAAAGTACAACCAGACAGCAACAGATGCATATTCCCAGAACCTCCGTGGGGATTCTATTGTTTCGCTGACTTTTCTCAAAACCAACTCCTTTTGTTCCGTTTCAATCACTTTCCGACAAGTGGATTGTTGCCAGACTCTTAGCAAAGACCCAGAAGAACAATTTGAGCTTTTTACTGGAAGAAAAAAAGGTCAATATAAGAGGAGATTTCATGGACTGTTGCAGTTTCCCCATAAGATCAAGAATTGGACCAAAACTGTTCTATCCACCATATAATTCACCTTTTTTAACAGATGGCAACAACAACACTTTCCTCAACATCTGATTCTGTGTGACGTCGGGAGAATCTCAAAGCTGAGACGCTTTTTGCGACACACAAATTGTTCCCTCAAGTTAATAAATAACCGTGCCGTGTATCCTGGTGTAGCCTCAGCACGTGGCCATTTACAGTATGTGTCCTTTCTAGAAGAGCCGACTGGGAGACACATTAGCACAACGACCACGAGGCTCTGTGGCATTGTTTGGAGCTCACTGTCAGCTGTCGAGATTATCTCAGCAAATCAGACCAAAGCCCTGTGCGCTCATTATAATTGGCTATTAAAGCATCATCACAAGCACAAAAGAGCACCCGTCTCCCTGCTGGCTGATAAAGAGATAGACACTTCACTGTGCATTGTGGGGGTTTTTCTTCAGAGGGCCTGCCGCTTCCCTGGAGCTCTCTGGTGATGAGGCTGCTCTCTCTGCCACCGCAACCCAGTCAGAGGCCACTAATCTGAGCTGTGCAGCCGGAGAGCAGCTCTGGAGGACGTCCAGCTGCTCCGAACGTGGACAAAGAGACACAGTGCGTCTTCATACTAATACAGCTACTCACAAACATGTGTTGTAATATTCTGTACACGTGGCCTGATGAATAATTCATTCTGTCAATGCACAGATGTTTGACTGTCAATTCACACATGTGCTGCACAATGTGTAAGTTGACAAAGGAAATGCACACACACACACACACACACACACACACACACACACACACACACACACACTGGAGAGGTGCTGATCTATTGGCTGGCACTCAGTAAGAATGCAGTGCTGCTGAGTGCAGAGCAACCTCACCACTTGGCCTGTCAGCGTTACTGCAAAGCACCATTTAACTGTGTGTGTGTGTTTGAGCGTGCATGTGTTTGTTAGAGTCTCCGTGCACGTTGTGTGCATGTGTCCAGGTAGGCCAAGTCTGTAGGTGTTGATGAGTCTACAGTTGGCAGGACTGTGTGGAGCTGCATGTAGTCTGTGTGGGCAAGATTTTGTGTCTATGTCTATCCATCTATCTATCTATCTATCTATCTATCTATCTATCTATCTATCTATCTATCTATCTATCTATCTATCTATCTATCTATCTATCTATCTATCTATC